TCCTTCAGGAGAAGATAAGATTCCCAGGAATTTACCACATTGATAACATAAAACTCAGATAGTGTTTGAGATATCAAACAACACAAATTCTTGTGTTCCTTGCAGAACATTTTGTTCCTTGTCACTACAACAGGGTTTCAGTTGCAGAAATAGATACATGTACTTCACCTCAACTAAGGCAACTATGGGCCATGACAACACTCCAGCAATAGCACTAAAGACATGCTCCAGAATGTGCCACTCCTCTAGCCAAGTTCTTCCAGTACAGTTACACTCTTGGCATCTACCCAACAATTTGTAAAATTGCCCACATATGTCCTTAACATAAAAAGCAGCACAAATCCAACCTGGCCGATTAACACCCCATCGGTCTAAAGCAGTCAACTTAAAACATGACTCAATTTTTGCACCATCTCTCAAATGAGAAATGACAATAGAAATGAGTTCGGTAACTTCACAAACTACTTAAATTTCAATCATTGAATAAAAAAATTGCACTCGAGAGTTAATGGAAAAATCAAGATTCTCACACATTTTGAAAGCAGTGGTCCATAACAATTGGGATCAAGTTGTCAAAGGAGTTGCACCACTCTTAACAATTAGAGAGTGACGCCTCACTCAACTGCACAAACACTGCCAGCCACATTCATCTTTGCAGTTTATCCTCATGCCTTTCTCACGGAGTGGAGAGGGTTTTGGGAGGCTGCAGAAGGACTTGCGACAAGCTAGGAGAGCAGGCAAAGAAGTGACAGATGGAATACAATGTGGGAAAGTGCGAGGTTATACACTTTGCTAGGAAGAATGGAGTCTATTCTGTTTTCTAAACAGGGAAAGAGTGTGGAAATCTGAAGTACAAAGGGACTTGGGAATCTTTGTTCATGATTCTCTTAAGGTTAACTTGCAGGCTCAGTTTGCAGTGAAGGAAAACACAACATTAACATCTATTTCAAGAGAGCTTGAATTCAGGAGCAGACATGTACTGCAGAGGCTGTATAATGCTCTGGTCAGGCTGCATTTAGAATACTGTGCGCAGTTCTGGGCCCTGTATCCACGGAAAGACATGCTTGTGGGGATGGGGGCCGGGGTCTAGAAAAAATTTACAAGAACGATCCTGGGAATGAAAAGCTTGTCATTTGAGTAGTGGGTGAAAACTCTGGGCCCATACCCAATGGAGTTTAGGAGGTATGAGGGAGTACCTGATTGAAACTTACAGAATACTGAGATTGCTAGAAAGAGTGGACTTGGAGAAGATATTTCCACTGGTAGGAGAGACTGGGACCTAACGGCATAGCCACAGAATGAAAGGACTGATAGGAGGAGGAATTTCTTTGGCCAGATGATGGTGAATCTGTCGAATTCATTGCCGCAAAAGACCAAGGAAGCCAAAGGATTGGGCATATTTAAGACAGAAATAGACAGGCTCTTGATTATTAGGTGGATCAAAAAAGTTATGGGGAAAAGACAGGAGAATGGGCTTGAGAAACAGATCAGCCATGCTCGAATAGCGGATCAGACTCAATGTGGCAAATGACTTAATTCTGCTCACCTATCCTATGGCCTAGCAAAGCTAGTCACCAACATAGCACAAATGCAATGAGAAGGCAAAAGGACTCATTGAAAATAAATGCAGAACGAAATATGAAATTCAGAGCCACACCACAAGAGCCAGGTGACAGAACATTTGAGAAACTCGACGTTCACGTTCAGATGCAAACAAGGATGTATGGCATCTAATTATTTCTTGTAATCAATACAAAATGATCATGACTGAATGAAGTTTGAAAAAAAAACAAAATCACAAAACATACCACTTTTTAAAGCACTGGAACACAATATATGCTGAACTTGATTCAGATATTTGTTTTTCAGATGAAGAACATGTTAAAAGAAACAACATTTAGTTTTCAATGGACACGAGTACCATCCAAACAGTAGCAGTAATGCAAACATTATAGAAAGGGAGAAAATTAGAACAATCACAAGGGATTAGGTATGGAGCAAACTATTGGAATTTAAGGCAGACCCCCCGGTCTGATTGCCTACATCTTAGAGTCTTAAAAGGAAGAGGCAGCAGATATAGTGGATTCATTAATTATGATATACCAAAAGTTCCTGGTTGCAGAAAAGGTTCCACTAGACTAGAAAATGCTATCACTAAATCCTTACTCAAAAATGGAGTGAGAAATTAAGAGACTGTAGACCAGTTCGTTTGACATGAGTCAATGGGAAATTGTTAGACTCCATTCTGAAGTAATAGCAGGATATTTGGAAAGTAAAATATAATCCATCAGAGGCAGCATGGTTTTTTGAAGGGTAAGTCATGCTTGCTAGATTTCTTTTTGAAGATGTAACAAGCAAAGTGGATATGGGGATCCTGTAGTTGTCGTATATCTGAACTTCAAGAAGGCATTTAATTAGGTATCACAAAAAATATATACAGAAATTAAGATCATATGAAGTTTACAAATGGGTCTTTTTCAGGTTGGCAACCTCTACCGAGTGGGACGCGAAGGGTTCAGTCCTTAGGCCTCAACACTTCACAATCTACATTAATGATTTGGACGGAGGGATAGAAATTCCTTTGACAAATTTGCAAGCAACACTAAAATAGGTGGGGTTAAGTAAGCCGCAATGCAGAAATAAGAAATTTACCAAGGATACAGATAGGTTACATGAACGGGTCAAAATTTGGTGTACGAAGTTTAACATGGATAAATGAGAGGTTGCCAATTTTGATTGGAGGAATAGAAAGGCAACTTTCTAATTAAATTGAGAGAAACTTCAGAGTGCTTCAGCAGAGAGGGATATTGGTGTCTTCCTGCATGAACTGCAGAAAACTTGAATGCAGGTACAACTGGTAAAAAGGAAAGCAAATGGAATTTTGGCATTTATTGCCAAAGAACTTGAATATAAAAGGAGGGAGTGCTACTGCACCTGCACAAGACTTTAGTGAGAACAGATCTGGAGTAATGCATGCAATTTGGATGCCCTGCAAGGAGGGGTGTAGTTGTCCTGGAGGCAGTTCAGTGAAGGTTGATTCTCGAGAGGAGGGGTTTGTCTCACGAAGAAAGATTGAGCAGTTCAGACCAATACTCTACGGAGTCCAGAAGAAAGGTATATAAGATGTTGAGGTATATAAGATGCTTTAAAATAAAAGACTGACAAGGTAGACGTGGAGAAGATATTTTCTCATATGTTGCAATCCAGAACAAGAAATTGTAGTTTAAAGGGCAATGGGTAACAGATTTAAACCAGAGTTGGGGAGAAATTACTTCTCTTAAAAGGGTTGGAACCAGAATGAGGTTGATGCTGGGGCATTGAGTAAATTTGAGAAGATAAACCTATTACTAATTAAAAATCTGCCTAAGTGTTATGGAGATCAGGCAGGAAAATGGAGTCAAGGCTAAAATGAGATCAGCCAGGACTGCAACAAATTGCAGAGCAGGCTTGAGGGGTTGAATTGCCTACTCCGGTTCCTACTTAAGATCCAGTATCATACGTTGTTATTCTACCTCATGAGAGAAAAACGTCCACAAACCATTACATTACCAAATTATCTTCAGCTGGTGAGAAAATCTTGTTTCATTGTGCATGATCAAGTGAAAAGCCCACACCAATTTTTTTCTTTTAAAAACAGTTGTTTCTATGCAGGTGAAAGTCTGCCTTAACTTGCGCTTAAAGAAAATGTGAAAAATATTCATTAAATTCAAGAGTCAATTTAATTACAATTGAATGTTAGAAAACAAATTTATTCAGGTAATTTTTAATGAACTGGTAATGTACAAGAAAAAATTACTTCATCACAAAAGCTCAATTTAGTGCACTGAAATAGTCGACATTTAAAATCACCACGTTTCATCATGCATCAAATCTCCACGAAAGTTCCTCGAAGGGAGACCACGGACAAGTTCAAGAACACATTTTCTGCTTCTAAAAAATTGTACCTTTTCCCTTAATGAATCCAATAATAGTACTAAGACAACAGGTGATTCTCATGGTCATAACATATTTCACTTTCATTAAAGGTTCTTCAAAAACAGGTTAAGAAAGATCTGCTCATCAAATAAGTTTTCAAACTAGTTCAATCATGCCTGCAGCCTTGAAGAATCTACTTTTCAGAAAATAACATCAGGATGGACATCCAAAAAGATCAGCATTCTCACCTATAGCCATAAAGATGCCTTTCCTGATTGTGCGTTCTACTTGAAAGGATTTTAGCTTTCATTTTTACCTATCTCTTGGCCACCAAATCTTTATACTGTTACCCTCAAATTCAACTTATCTACTTTGATATCTCGATATTTACAGATAGTAAATATTTCAATGTCTATATCATGAAATTTCATGATATTATTCCATGAACAGACTTTTTCCTGGAGTCTGGAATCGATTCCTTGATCTTAATTTTGTTAAAGTCAGAAGTCACACAACACCAGGATATAGTCCAATAGGTTTATTTGAAATCACAAGCTTTCGGAACATAGCCCCTTAGTCAGGTGAAGTGAGAGAGAAGCACACAGACACAGAATTTAAAGACAGAGATCAAAAGATCATACAAATAGTGAGAGTGCAGTGTCAAATAATAAGTCTCTGCAGGTGATCAAAAGTGTCAGACAGTGTCTCTAAAGTGTCAACAGCTGAATATGAGCAAATAGATGACCTATAATCTGATTATAGTCCAAGGTTATAGTCCAACAGGTTTAATTGAAACCACAAGCTTTTGGAGCACTTCTCTAGCTTCCACCCTAAACATATTAAAAACACCACCCCCCACGGACAAGCCTGGTGCACATACAGGATCTGCTTAGATAAAGAAGAACGCAACGGATACAAAGATTTTGAAGGATGTCCTAAGAACAGGACACAATGCTCAACTCAATCACCAGTTCCAACGTGCACAATGAAAAACTGCAATGACCTCCTCAGAAGACAGACAAAAGATACAAACGATAGAGTACCCTTGGTTGTCCAGTACTCCTCCAGAGTGGAGAGACTACGCCATGTTCTTCGCAGCCTTCAACGCCATTGATGACAACAAGCATCTCGCGAAGACCATCCGTACGCCTGCATTTCATGCCTTCAACTAACTGCCAATCCTTAAACAGACCTTTATTCACAGCAAACTACCCAGCCTTCAGGACAATTGACCAAAACACAGCACAACTCTGCCACGGCAACCTTTGCAAGACATATCAGATCACCAACATGGATACTACTATCACACATGAGAACACCACACACCTCATACATGGTAGACAACATTGTCCAAGTCACACAAGTATCTATCTCGGACGCTGCAGGCAAGGACACCCCAAGGCGTGGTATATTGGCAAGACCATGCAGACGCTACAACAACGGATGAATGGACACCACACAACATTCGCCAGATAGGAACATTCCCTCCCAGTCGGGGAACACTTCAGCAGTCAAGGACA